CTTCACTTACCAAAAGCAAGGAGTGCTAAGTTAAAACAAGCCAAAGAAGCTGGTCTGGAGTGACTCGTGTCATGAAAAGGACGAGAAAGGACTGAAGGTTTTTGTGCAATATTTACCATATTAGAAGTAAGCAGGTGGGCTGGGGAGAATCTAGTTAAGCTTACAGTTTAGTGCCAAAACACCCTCAAAACCTAATTTATGTGCTTCAACTCCCCAGTTTTTATGCTGCCTCTTGCCAAGACAATTAAAGAATTCCTAGAGCTAGTCTGAATTTCCAGGCTGGGTTTGGAATATGATACCCACTTCTGTAGGTGCAGAGAACACTCCAGCCTGTTCAGGTAGGTTGGTGAGTCTTGGTGGTTTTATTGCTGGTTTATTTGATTTTTCAGGAGTCTGGAGATGTTGCTCTGAAGCACATTTGTGGTGCAGTTGCAGGTGTAGCCAGCTGGGTTTTTGCTGCTTGCAAAAGGTCAGCTTTTAAGCTTCCCTGAATTGATGAACAGTAAACTTGAGGCTGGTGTTGCAGCACCTGTTTTCTAGAGTTTCAAGCCTCCTGTTGGACTCTGGAAAACTTAGGGGGAAAAATTTAGGTCCCTGTGTGGTGTTGATATTCTTAAGATCTGCTTAACTATTTGTAACTAATTAAAATGCAAGAGGTGAAGGAATACCCTCGGGCCAGTTCAGAGAGGGCTTGTGCAGCTGAGTGAAGATCAGCTGTGGTAGGAGAACTCAGTGCATCCGTCACGTCTGCAGAGAAAACCCAACCAGCACCTTATTGCAGCAGCACTTGGGTTGTGTCACTGTGCTCTCCCCTGGGTCACCTCATGGTGAGTGTTGGTGAAAGACTTGACTTAGCAGAGTTTGGACATGTTGAAACAAATTTGATGGCTTGAAACTTGTCTGAAGAATCTGCTGCTTGTCAGGTGACTCCCGAGGAGCTGCTCCACCTGTGACCCCTCAAAACATCATGACTTGGTTACTTTGATTATTTTTTAATAACATTTTAACTCAGAGGTTAAATGACACATTGGCAGCTTATTGCATGTCAGAATGTGAAAGAGAAAGTGTGAACCTTTCTGTGGAGCTGGGAATCCATAGATCAAGCTGGGTGAGTGACAGCTCAGCCTCTACATGGAATTCAGAGCGTCTTTGCCATGTTATAAAAAGCTTGCTGCCTGGTGCTGATCTGTTCCTCCAACACTGAGCTTTTTGTAACCTTTAAACTCCAAGTTTAGGGTAGGAATTTATCCAGTTAAAACCTGCATTTGTTTGAAGAGTTAACTCCTGCCTGGTCACCTCTGCCCCACATCTCTAGATCTCAGTTATTTGAATACCAAGGTGTGTGTCACTCACTGGGTAGGGAGGTTTTTCCTTTAGCAGAAAGAAGTAAATGTGACCTGTAGAGAGCAAGCAGCTGTGCCTGTCTTGCTACACCTTTCTCATTCTTCAACTTTGCTTATTTACAGTGTGGAACTGTTAAATTAGGATTTAGAGTTGGTCTGCAGGTGAGTTTTTGCCTGTGAAATTCTGGAAATACTTCTGAGATTAGGGCCTTAATTTCAACCTTATCTTGAAGTGATGTGTTTTACGTTGTCTCTGATGTCAGTTTTACAGGCTTTCTTTTGGGGAGGAATGGGGAAAAGTCCTTACTAATGTCTCATCTAAAGTAGGCTGGGTGAATAACATATGCTGGAATATTTTAAAAATGAAGTGCTGGATGAAGTAGGTTGGATGGAAGGGTTTGAAGGCTTCAATTCTGAAGTAAGGAATAAGTCTTCTGGTTTGTCTGCTTAGGCTTGTCCTACTTTGAAGCCTCACTGAATTTTCAAATGGAGAAGTAGCAGATTTGTTTGGTGTTGAACAGCAGGCTTGAATTATATCCTTTTTTAGTATTTTGAGATTGCTTGGTGTAAACCTTTCACAGAAATGCTGCTCTTACTGAGCTGGTGAGTTAAGTTCATCACAACTCAAATGTTGTTCTTTCTCTTCCTTCCAGTCCTTTAACTCCTTGTCACAAGTGACAATGTTCCTTGCAGGCAGATTTGAGGTAGAAATCCTCACCTTTAGCTCTGTTAGTGTTGTGTCAGCCTTTGCATCCTCCAGGGTTAAGGTGCAGTCTTAGTGCTGTTTTCAGAATGATGCTCTGGAGGGGATTTTTAACCCTTCTAGACCAGGGTTGCTGCAAGTAAAGCATTTAGCACGTGTTTCTGCTGGGCTTTGTTGTGTTTCTGCAGGTAAACGGTCCCTGTGCTGAGGTTGCTGGCTTACCTTCACTGGACAGAGGATGCAGCCTGGGAAGGGTGCAGAGCAGCAGGGCTGCTCCGTGGATCCTGGGGCTCCATCGCTTATGGCACTGGGATCTTGGGCTGCCCTGCTGGCACAGGCAACCCTAAATGCTGAAAGGGTATCAACCACTGCCAACTTCAGCTTAGCCCTCAGAAATGCAGCTCCTGAAGCTGTTCTGTATCGGTGGTGTTGCTTGAGATTTATGTAGGAAGTGGGAGCAGATGCTTTCCTTTTTCTCAGAGCTTTTATTAGTTGTTAACTGAAACAGTTGGATTGTTGGGGTTTGTTTAGTATTTGTGGTAAGATTTGATACGTTGCTTGATAAATGCTCCTGTGTTTTCCACAGATAATATGTACTTATTCCTTGTGGGTTATGGAGTAGTGGGCTTTTGGATCTGTGGACGTTAAGGTGGTTGTGTTTGTAATCCAGCAGAGAGGACTAATGCACTGAAACTTCAGACTGGAGAGTTACTCAGTAACACTGTTTTTGTCACTGAGCCACTAAAAAATAATGCTGAGAACTTAGCAGGACTAAATGGATGTTGTACGAAACACAAATGTATCTGTTTCAGAGCCTCCCCTGGAGGTAATAAAGCCTTCAGTGGTAACTGTGCTCAGGCAGAGATTCCTCTGGCTCTAACAAGACTGAATGTTGTTATTAATGGTCTTTGCCTACACAACTAGGACCTGTAGCTGTTATTTGTGAGGTTATTTCCTGTGAGCAGAGTGATTCCCTGTCAGTTTACCCGAATGCTCAAAGGCAGGATTCACTCCCAAGGTCTCCCGAGGAGGGCAGAGCATGTGCAGGGCTGTGTGTGCCCGGGTGAGTTCCTGCAGAGCCCTGGCAGGTCCCTTCCCTGGGATCACGTATCCGTCTGGGAGGGAGAAGCCGCTCTGCCAGCACACTTAATCTATTTTTGATTCGTCAGGATCTCCAAGACAGAAACAAAAAGCACTTTGTGCTGGCTGGACTCGAGGACTGACACTCGAATGGCTCTTTCCATTGTCTATTCAGTGGCTTGTGAGTGCTCCTGCAGTGGAGCACATTGTTGTGGAGCAGCCACTTCACTGCCGGGGCTGCCAGGCTTTGGGAGCTCTCAGAGCAGCAGCTTCACAGCAGGCACTTGTTTGAGTGGTTCCAAGGTCAGCCTTGGCAGTGGAACTCACTGAAGCTTCCGGGGCAACTGGTGGCCCTTCAGTGGAGGAGGTCAGTGCCAGGCTGGCTCACCGCTGCCTTCCTCCCCTCCTGGCTGCTGTGGCTCCTTTCCCAGTGAGAGAAGGGTATCACTGGAGGTACCTTTGGATCAGAAGCTCCACAGAATCTCTGGAGCTTTGGTGGACTCTCCAGGGAATCATTCATAATTATTTATGCTTTATTGCTGAGAGGATCTGACAGAATATTCTGGACATACTGCAATCCAAGTTCTAGTTATTTTGTTATAATAAACCTTTTTTCACTGCTAAGCCCAAGTATCCAAATACAGGAAAAAGATGGAATCTTTACCTTGTATAATTTTCCTGAGGCTGTTTTCTGAATGGTTTTTAATTTCTTATACACAGAGCTGTTCGAGAATTTCCCTGATACTTGCAGGTGATCATGAAGTCTTTGGTTTATCTTGAAGTAGTTCAGCTTGGTTTCCTACTGTTAATTCCATGCTCTTTAGGTTTCTGTTTGCATTTACCTCTGTTAAGCAATAATAATTAACTCAAAGCATTGAACTGATGGAGTTATTGTGTTGGGAGAACAAACCAATAACCATAATGCAATAAGCATTACTGCAGCTTCCTGGTAATGAAAATTCCAGTAGTGGAGGACTTGATTTAATTTTTAAGCTTTGAGAGAATAGTGGTGGTGATAAAATGACTTTATAACTGAGTCTCACTTAGGCAGCTCCTTAATGCTAGGAAAAATCTTGGGGTGTGAGGAAGAATCATGGTTGGAAGAATCATACAGCTGTTGAGGATAAAAGCTGTTTATGTTAACAGAGGGAATGTCTGAGGTCTTGCTGTTCACATTTGAACCCCATCCTGCAGTGTGCAGCTATGTTTTTAAGTTACTCTTGCTTCCCCAGACAGTCTGGATGACATTGTTTACTTCCTTCTAGTGAGTCTGTCTGGATGTATTTAAGCTGGAAACTGCAGAGTTAAGGGCAGTTGGATATTCCTGTCCTCCCACCAGACCACACAGTTGAATTAAGAATCTATCTGTCTCCTGAAGTGGGTGTTCAAAATAGGTAAGAACTGCTCACTAAGGGATAGAATGTAGGACTTTTAAAAAGGGAAAATATCAGGCACAGAATCTGGCTTTTGATGAGGAGGATCTTCCTTAAGGTCTCTGGGGCAGTTTTTGTGTACAGCTGGCATGGCCGTGGCACTGAGGGTGCTTCCAGGAGAGATGGATCTCTCTTGGTTGCCGATGGCTTTGGCAGTTTTCTTGGCATGAAAGGCTGACTAATGAGCACAGCTGGAGCAGGAGTGCAGCTCCAGCCTCTGCAGGGCCCACGGGACAGCTCTGAGGAGCCTGGATGTGTTGTGTAAGGACAGCTCTGACTCGGTGGCAGTGCAAGCACGTGGTTGAACTTAAGCAGTATCACTGCACAAGTCAGAATGAGGGCTCACAGCCTCACCAGTTTGATCCCATTACCCTCTTAAGTGACATCACACCTCCAAAGCTTGTTTCTTACCTCACTCTGTGTTGTTGTGCTTACTTTTAGGCACTGATTTCCAGCTGTGCAGGCTGAAGCACTGCTGTATGCTCTGCAGATCAGCTCATGGGTGAGTGGGCACTGACTCAGACATTCCTGCACACGGACGCTCTTCACGTGCAGGGAGATCCTGTTCTGTACCAGTTCAGAAGCTTCTGGTATAACAAACTTGCTCCAAAGCCAACTTCTCCTGGTTTATCTTACTGAATTTTGTGTCCGTTTTACAGATACTGGCATGTATGTTAATGGGTATTGTATCTTCAATACTGGTGTTTTGAGCGATGGTTGTAGAATTGGAGATGAATGCTTATGGGACAGCAGTGGGTTTGGAGGCTGGGATGCCTTAATGGCATTATTGAAGTGAGCTGAAGAGTTGACAGAGCCATTCTAAATATACTGCAGCATTGCAGTCGTGGCAGTGACTGTGATGCCAGGCCTGGACTATGAATACAACTTACATGTGCACACTCATGTGAGAATGACAGAACAGCACGTGCTGGGCTTGCAGATAGTGTTTCTTTCAGCATGATAAGGACTGTGGCACAATTACCCTTTGCTTTTGACGTGTCACACAGCCCCAGTGCTGTGTGGCTGTCCAGGAGAGAGTGCAGGCTGCAGGGTGTGGGAAAATCACTCCTTAGAAAGAGAACACACCTCAGTTTGTGTTGAGTATGACATTGAATATGACATGTCAGGGAGATGGACTTATCATGCAGATGGAAAACTAGAACCATCTCCCAGCTTTGGTCTCCCAGGCTATCCGGTTTTTCCTCTTGCTTAGGTTTTTAGGTTGCTTGTGTACTAGTTTATTCCTCACCAGTCAGGTAGTTAGAGGGGAACACCTGGTAAGTAATACCTGCAGGCTCTGTAATGGATTGGGGTGAGCTGTTCAAATGTCTGCTGCTTTCTTGCTCCCAACTGCACAATGTGAAGGAAGTTTAGGGTGTTTTGGACAGGAAGGGACACGTGCCCTAAGAGCCAAACTATCTGAAGGGCACTGCCCAGCATAGCTGTCCTGATAGCAGAGAGGATGGTTGGGAAATCAGTGAAACACCAGCTCTGAACACCTCCTTAAGCCACCTGGTCTCCTTGGCAGAATTAGTTCTTTAAACATACAAACTCTTCAGGCAATCTGAAGCTGGTTGTTATTGCAGGCAAATGTCCTGATGACCTGAAGGAGGACTTGTTCTTTCTTGGAGTTGTCCTGTACTGGCAGGAGATGGGTGTTTTTCCTGTGAACATCTTCTGCCATAAGGCATCAGGTTCTCGAGTGAGAAGCCTTAGTTTAAGTGGAAGTGAAGTGGCCTTGAATGCCAGAAAATGGGATTGCCAATGACTGATGAAGGATCTGTACCTTGCTTCAGACTTGCCTTCAAGTGTCCTGGGTTTCTGATGGAGTTTAATAGACAGCTTGACTTAGTACCAGAGACAAGTGGTAACTTGGAAGTGGGGTTGACACTGTAAAGGTGGATGTAAGGCAAGAGGGAAAATGTGAAGAGCTGACATGCTCCCACTGCCTTGATTTCCATACCTCTGCAAGGCCTGGACATTAGAAGTGTGCTGCTAAAAACCTCTCCCTTGTGTGGAAGCAGAATGACAGGCTCCAGTTGCTCCCTCCTGCTGCTTTAATTCCTCCTAAGGCTGCTGAGGAGCAGCTTTGCTGCACGTTCTGGCAGTGCAGCCTTTCTCTGGGAACACCACTGCTGTAGCAGTTGAGTGAGCACTGGAAGGCTCAGTAAGTACCACTGGCTGGTTCTCAAGTCTGACATCATATCCAAGAATTAGATGGCTCCCTCTCACCGTGGGGATAATGAAATAATTCCTACTGTGTTATTCATTAACTCACATTTCATTCAGTGGCTCCTAAGAGGATAACGAGTACATTAGAGGTGAACTTGTATAAGGCTTCTGACATCCTTTTGATAAGTTAAATAAGAGTTAAAGCTATGGCAGACAAAGCATGGCAGGGGGGCCTCACTGAGGGGCAGGTGGCCTGTGCTGTATTACACACACTGACTTAAAAACTAATTTAATGGCTTTTCTTCAATGGTTTAGAAAAATAGCCTGCTTCTAAAGGTGCTGGAGAAATAACTAGTGCCCAGAGCCAGCTGAAGGTCATCCTCAGTGTGGAGCCTGCTCCTGACTGAAGGGCTGTGTTCAGGTGGTGTCCAGCCCAGCACAGCAGGGAACCCAACAAATAAATGAAGGATCTGCAACAATAAAAGGGAGGGAAAAGCAGCCTGGTGAAGGAAGGACAGCTGCTCCTGATCCATATAAAACTTTTGGTACAAGAGCCTGTTGAGCCTTGCTGGGTTTCCAGTTTGAGTGTTAATGTAGCTTGAGCTTGTGTAAAATTTGAATCTCCCTCAAGTGTCGGGGACTCTTTCCCCTCAGCTTAAGTGCCATGTGCTGCTCCTCAAGGGAGCTCCAAAGAGGGGAGGGATTGCATCAGTTGGTGAGGGATTTTTCACTGACATGATGTTCAGGACCAATAAAACTGGACAACTCTACCTCTGACTTTAGGGCTTTTTAAAGGAGGGAATTGTATCAGGAAGAGTGTGGCAGCAGGAGCAGGGCAGTGACTCTGCCCCTGTACTCAGCGCTGGTGAGGCCACCCCTGGAGTGCTGTGTCCAGCTCTGGGCCCTCAGGAAGGTCATGGAGGGGCTGGAGCAGGTCCAGAGAAGAGCAACAAGGCTGGGGAAGGGACTGGAGCACAAGTGCTGTGAGGAGAGGCTGAGGGAGCTGGGG